CAGCTAGGTAACCCACACAGCCTCTCCCCCCAACTGATTCATGAAAGATTCCTTGGAGAGAAGTGGAAAGAACCTGTTTATTTAACAGGCACAGCACGCCCAGCACACAAAATGAACAGTACCAGGTGACAACACTCTTTTGCCACTCTGAAAAAGATGACAAATTCAGAAAGTCTCTCCTGGGGATGGTCACTCTGTTATTGGTACCTCTGACACTGGGGCAGCTGCTGCAGCCACAAACTCTCGGTGTTTCCCAGGTCCCAGTTCAGAGCAGGTTTGAGTGGTTCCAAAAAAGTAAGAGGAGAAACAGTCCAGGGAAAAATTTGGACTGCTTAGCTAAACTAACTAATGAGCAGAAGGAAAAATCAAGAGCAAAGCAGGAGCAAGAGCAAAGCCAAAAGCAGTAGCAGCACCATGTCCTGCCCTGTCTGTGTGTTCCACCAGCCATGGGGGAGCAGCTGATAGCAAAACCAAAACAAAACTTTCACTCTTCAGAGCCAGTCTTGAAGGCTCAGAACATGATATCCAGCATAAACAGAACGCACAAATGGGGATACAAACATCATAACGTCACCCTAGGACATTGGGGAAGGGAGAGGGAGAGGTGGAGAAGGGCCAAGAGAGAATCTGTGGTCCCCCCACAGCTTAACAGAGAGATTCAAATTGGGTGCAGAATAAAACTTGGGCCAATGAGATTGCAGATCCATGACACTTCAGGGGAGGATCACAGGCTTGTACATTTTCGAGGGGTGAGACAGAGCAAACCATTGAACTAAAATGTAACACCACAATTCACCCTTTTTTTGTTAGAAAGAAAAGATAAATATGACAATTGACAATTTAAAGAATTAAATACAATTGCAGCGAGGATTATGTTTTAAACAGTCCTCTTGACTTGCTGTTTGCCTTTGGTGGTTGGTATCAAAGATAAAATGAGCATTTATGGTCACACCTCAGGGCTGAGCCTTCTGCTCAGTGGGGCTGTTCTTCCCCAAGCCTAGGGAGGAGTGGGGAAAGGGGAGGTTTGGGAGGATGAGGCACCTTCCTGAGTGGAAAACCAGCTGCTCCAGCCTGGTGGGAGCAGGAATGGCCCTGTGAGTCCTTCCAGAGCCCGTTACCTTTGAGTGTGGATCTTATGACTCAGCCCGGGCGTGCAGCCTGTTCCAGCAGGATTCCGCTGGACTGGCGGGCAGAGCAGGAATGCTGCTTGTTTATAAAGGCTCTGTTCAGTGCTGGCAGCTCGGCCTCCCTGCCTGGGCAGCAGCTCAGGCTCCTCTCTGTTGCCATTACAGCACAGCTGCACCCCAAACCTCTTTGTGCAGAACGTCTTCGTGGACACCCACGACCTTCGCTTCCCCTGGGTCGCCTTCTTTGCCAGCAAGTGAGTCCTGGAGGGCTGGGAGGGGCTGAGGGTTCCTGGGCTGTGTGGGAGCTGCTCCATGGCCAGGGCTGGGTGTCCCCTGCTCCTGGAAACCCCATTCCCAATTTTCATCATTCCTGTGCAAAGAAAACCTCGGTGGAAGGTGAAATAATCTCTCTTGTGCTGGAGATCCTGCTGTGATTTCCACCAGTTTTAGACCTTCCCAAAGGGCAGAGTGAGGCATGGAGCAGCCAATTTCCCTTTTTGTTTTACTCCCAAATTTTGAGCTGGGTGTTCCCTGCTCCTGGAAACCCATTTCCCTGCTCCTGGAAACCCCATTCCCAATTTTCATCATTCCTGTGCAAAGAAAACCTCGATGGAAGGTGAAATCTTCTCTCTTGTGCTGGAGATCCTGCTGTGATTTCCACCAGTTTTAGACCTTCCCAAAGAGCAGAGTGAGGCATGGAGCAGCCAATTTCCCTTTTTTGTTTTACTCTCAAATTTTGAGCTGGGTTTTCCCTGCTCCTGGAAACCCCATTCCCAATTTTCATCATTCCTGTGCAAAGAAAACCTCGATGGAAGGTGAAATCTTCTCTCTTGTGCTGGAGATCCTGCTGTGATTTCCACCAGTTTTAGACCTTCCCAAAGAGCAGAGTGAGGCATGGAGCAGCCAATTTCCCTTTTTTGTTTTACTCTCAAATTTTGAGCTGGGTTTTCCCTGCTCCTGGAAACCCCATTCCCAATTTTCATCATTCCTGTGCAAAGAAAACCTCGATGGAAGGTGAAATCCTCTCTCTTGTGCTGGAGATCCTGTTGTGATTTCCACCAGTTTTAGACTTTGCCAAAGGGCAGAGTAATGCATGGAGCAGCCAATTTCCCTTTCTTGTTTTACTCCCAAATTTTGAGCTGGGTTTTCCCTGCTCCTGGAAACCCCGTTCCCAATTTTTCATCACTCCTGTGCAGAGAAAACCTCGGTGGAAGGTGAAATCAGATTCTCTTTATTGTGCTGGAGATCCTGCTGTGATTTCCACCAGTTTTAGACCTTCCCAAAGGGCAGAGTGAGGCACGGAGCAGCCAATTTCCCTTCTTGCTTTACTCCCAAATCTTTGAGTCGTGCTGAGCCCCTGCTGTGTGCCTCTCTGCTCCTGCAGTGAATCCTCACAGCAATGATTCATCACAGAACTCGATCCCTTCCTCCCTGGCTGCCTCAGCCTCATCCCATCCTTTCTCCTCTTTCCTGGAGCAATCTCCTCACCCGTCCTGTGTGGATTTTTGTCCTTTCCCAGGAGGATCCGGGCTGGCACAGAGCTCACCTGGGATTACAACTACGAGGTTGGCAGCGTGGAGGGCAAGGAGCTGCTGTGCTGCTGCGGGGCCATCGACTGCCGGGGCCGCCTGCTCTGAGCCGGCCCCGCTCCCTCCCAGCAGCTCCCCCTTCCCCAGAGGCCTGGTGCTCCCTTTCCCTCAGTGGGGGTGAAGTTTTCTTCTCCACAAGTTCTCAGTTCTCCCTTTTCTCAGCTGGAAAATCACAGATGGACACAGAGCAGGAGGGGACTCGGGTTGTGCTGGGGGTGATTTCCACCCCGCTGGGTTTCTCCCGCCTTCCTGAGGCTCCAGTAATCCCACGAGACAATTCTCTTCAAGGAATGAGCTTCTTCCTGCTCTCTTCCATCTTTTCCACCAATTTTAAGGCACAAAGCTCATTTTTCCAGCAGCAAGCACTTGCCCAGTATTGTCAGGAAGTGCTTTCCAGTTGGGACTGAGGCCTTGAAAGTGGGAGGGAGGATGGTGGAAAAAATCCTTGGAAAACTGGACCAAACAGGATTTATAGAATCCAAGGGAAAAAAAGACAAAAAGTAAGTATCTGTCTTCATCTGTGAGCTGTTAAGAATCTTTCAGTTGCTAAAAAGCAATAAAAGTGGGTTTTTTCTATTAAAAACAACCTGTCCTGATCTCGAGACACAGCCAAGAGAAAAAGCAGAGTTGAACCTCTGCCATCATCCCTGTTCCTCTGGGGTTTGCAGGAAAAATGCCAGAGGTGGATGGGCCCAGGCAAAGGGATAAGGAGCTCCCACATTTTCACCTTTCCTTCACCTTTCCTCAAAACAAACACTCCTTAAACCCTCCCAGTGGGGGAAATTACAGAGGAAGGGGTTGGGGTTTTCTTGAGGAAGGAGATCTGGTGCCTGTCTCCATCTCCAACCCTCCCAGAATGTCACAGGGAGCCCCCAACCGGCTTTGGGTACCTGGGCACAGGAGGGAGGGAGGGAGTGGCACCAGTTCCAGGCTTGGGTTTTTTTGTTTGGGGAGGGGAGGCACCAGGGCAGATCCAATGAGTTCAAAAAACCACCCTGAGAATTGGATGAAAGAGGTGAAGTTTGACAAAGTGGGATCAAATCTCACATTATTGACGTGGAAAAACCCAATCTGGGAGGTGGTGGAGCTGATTCCAACCATCCCTACACAAGGGAGGTTTGTTGGGTTTTTTCCCTTGCTAAATAACCTTTTTCTTTTTTCTTTGTAAAATAAAACCTTTCTGGGGCCTCCTGGAGCTCCAGTTCCATCCTGAGAGTCCACCTGAATGGAGGCTTTGTCATCCCAGCGGGGCTGCAGCTCCTCAGGGAATCCAAACCCACACTCCAGCCTGGGCTTGAAGACTTGGAGAATTTTTAGGAGAAAAAAATAAAACATAAAACCCATGAAAATCCTCAACTCTGCCCATTTTTAGCACTGCCTAAAGGATCTATGCCAAAATAACCTCCCCACCCCAGGGACACAGAGTATGCCCAAATCCTGTATTTTTTTTTTTTACCCAAGTTTATTAGTTTTTTTAACTTTTAATATATTTAACCTTTTATTTATTAAAAAAAAAAAAAAAAAACCAAAAAAACAAGAACAACAAAACACGTTTTGGTCTGACATTGGTTAATGGTCCTTTTCCCCCCCACCCCTCCGTGCTGGGAGGTCTCACAGCATCCCAAAGGATGCAGGAGACAGAGCCAAGCCTGGCTCCTCCTGTCTTCCAAATAAATAGAAAGGAAGGAAAAAAAAAAAGGAAAAAATCAAGTTGGAAATTTGTCCTGTTACAGCTGGGAGAGGCCACGGAGAGGGAGAGACTCAAAAATCCATTTACCGAAGAGAAATGAGAGGATTAAACTCTGTGTGTGAGACACAAGGAGTGACTCAACCCCGCAGCTTCCTTCCCCCAAGTACTTCCATAGTGTCATCCCATCATTTAGGCACTGAAACACCCAGGAATTCCCTGCTCCTCCCTCCCAGTTCGGTGGAGCAGGGGCTGAGCCGGCTTTTCCAGCTCAGGGAAAGGGGAATTCTCCCCTTCCCCCGGTGAAGGAATGGTTGGGAGAATCGGAATAACGCAGAGCCCGACAAGGGGCTGGGGCCGAGCCCTTTGGCCAGAGCCGATCCCAGGGGCTGCGGGCGGGGAGGAACCGCCCCGAGGGATGGATGGAGCCGCCCCGGAGGGGTCCCCGCCTGGCCGGGGAACCGCAGTGGATTAAGGCAGCAGGTGAGAGGTGGAAGGGCACCAGCGGTGAGTGTGAGGCAGAGCTGCGGCCCCGCTCCGGAGCGGGGGCGGGCGCTCCGGGGTCCCGGTGCGGAGCGGCCGGAGGGGCCGGGCCGGTGGCAGCTCTCGGGTCCGGGGCGCTCTCAGTCGGTTTTGCGGTGGTTGTTGTTGAGGACGGGGTGGCCGTTGGAGAGGGGACCGTTCTTGGTCACCTCCTCCTCCTCCTCGGTGTTGTCCGTCTCCTCACGGTCACTCCGCTCGTCCTCCACCACCTGCGGGCAGAGGGAAAAAGGGGGTTCAGGCAGCAGCTCCCCCCATTTTCCTGCCGTGCCTCAGTTTCCCCATTGCAACCACAGCGGTTTCTCCCCACGGTGCACCTGGAGAGCCAAAGGCAGTTGGGATTCAGGATCTGGGGGTCCTTCCTTCCCCCATGACATCCCCATGCCCCCTTACCTTTCCAGTTATGAACTTCTGGGCCATGCGGATGATGAGGTAGGCCCAGAAGATGTGCAGCGACTGCAGCACCACCATCATGAAGTTGAAGAAGTAGTAACCAAAGAAGGCAGGGTAGAGATCCAGCGGATAAACCATCGTGCAGTGCATGATCCTGCCAGGAAAAGCCACTCCTGTCACTGAGACTCCCCCAGCCCCTGCCTCAGTTTCCCCCGTTCCCCAGCAGAGCTCACCAGAAGGGGAGGATGACCAGGCGGGTGATGATGAAGACGGCGGCGAAGACGATGAAGATGTTGTTGCAGGTGTTCCTCCACCCGGCGTAGTTGAACATTTTGGCAGACTGGGGGGGGGCAGAGGGGGTGAGCAGGGCAGGGGGCACAGGATGGGGCACGGGGTGCCAGCAGGGCAGGGGAACACACCAACCTCCAGCAGATAATCCGAGGAGTCGTGCAGGGCCATGATGAGAGTCCCGGCACGGACGTAGTTGGCAAACCAGGAGAAGCTGATGAGGATGATGGTGGCAACGTGGTGGATGATTTGCTCTTTGAAGTCCTGTGCCCAAAGCAAAGGGAAGCTCAGCAAAGGGAGGGTTACAGCAAACCCCCATCCCACAGCCCCTGGGCTTCTCCCACCTTCCAAAGGCTCCAGTTACCCCACAAGACAATGGGTTCCCTTCAAGAAATGAGCTTTTCTTGCTTTTTCCTGCTCCTGTGCCCACATCCTCCCAGCTGCTCCCTCCTGCCCACCACAAAGGTGAAGAAAACCCTGCTGAGATGTCCCAGTGTCCCCCAGCCCATCCCAGTGTCCCCCACCTTGCGCTTGACGTCAGAGGCGATGCTGAAGAGCAGGGACCAGTAGAAGGAGAGCTCGATCATGTAGTACCAGTACTGGGAGGGCAGCACGCTCTGGGGGCAAGGGACAGGTTGGGGGGGTCCTCTGTGTCCCCCAGAGGGGTTTGGTCCCCTCCTGTGAGCACCATCCGGGTGCCCTGAGGACCCCCAAACCCTCCTGCACCCCCAGTTCCCCCTGGTGCTCAGGAGAAGCCGTGGGCTGGCAGCTGGGATGGATCTTGCTCACCTGGATGGGGTATCCCTTCCACACCTCCCGGAGGTCGTAGAACCAAGGTTTCTGCAGGAGGGGGAGACACAGGAGTCAGAGGGGCCACGGGGGCTGGGGGAGCAAGGGGAGGGGGGCAATACTCACATCCACTATGACAGCCATGCCAGCAATGAAAGCAATAAGGTAAAAGGTGAATCTCCAACTGGAAAAAGGAAGCAGACGTTCCTCAGACGGGCACCGGGGAGCAGGAGGGAGGAGGACGGACCCAGATCCCGCATCTCCCACCCTCCCAGGCAGCTCCTGGCCCAGCTGGGACCCCCAGAGCCCCCCAGGGTGGAGGGACAGTGACACCAGGCAGGAAGGGACGGGGGTCTCACCTGGCCTCCCTGAATTTCTTGAGCAGGCTGGGCCGGTCCTGGTTGCGGCGGCGGCGGAACCAGCGCTCGACCTGGCGCACGGTGCAGCCGCTCTTCTTGGAGAGCATCTCCACGTCGGCCTGGGGACACCAGGGCAGCCCCACTGTGTCACACAGCCCTGCCTCTGCCACCGTGACCCCCTGGCGACCCCCTGAGCCCTCACCTGCTTGGGGTGTTTGCTGGTGGCAGCATAAAACCTCTCCAGCACCGCGTTGGGGGTGGCTTTTAACCGCACCTTCTCCTTGACGTTCAGCAGCCCGGCCAGGGGGGTGGCCACGTACCTGGGGAAGGAATTCCTGTCACCTGCACGGTTTGGCACCATTAAAGCCACCCAGGGACCCACAACGATCAGTGCCTCGGTGTCCCCACGCTGCTTTGCCTCCTCCAGGGTGGGTTTTGCCAAGGGGAGCCCCCCAGGTCCCTCTGTCACAGGCTGTCCCCACTCAGCCCCTCCCTTCTCTCGCCATCCCAACAAAGCCGGGTCTGTTCCCATTGTTTGCCCAACAAATCACTCCCTAAAGGCCGTGTTTGTGTGGGGAAAGGGGAGCACGTGGGTTTGCTAGGGGGGATCATGACCCCCAGCTCGGCTGAGCACAAGGTGCCACATCCCAGTGTTCAGCCACAGCCCCCAGGGCACGGGGAGAGCCGGATAGGGGGCTCAGGAACCGTCCCCACCCCCAGGGAAGGGACTCACGTCTCAAAGAGGTGCCGGACAACGAGGAAGAGGAAGGCCAAGGGGAGGGTGATGTACAGGTCAGAGGCTTTGGCATAGACTCGCCCATCCCGGTCCTCCAGGTCAGCCCAGGTGAGGTTTGCCGGGAGCCAGAGCCGTTCCCACCAAAAATAGCTGTACAAGGTCTGAAACATGCTGAGGGAAGGGAAAGGGGGAGAGGTGAGGGGGGCATCTCCGAGGAGAAGGCCGATCCCACCCCGCCCCCACCAGGCGCCCCAATTTCCACCTCGGCTCCCAGCGAGGCCCCCGTGAAATCCCCGTCGGAGCTCGGCTCGGGCACCGAGGGACTTTGCTCCCTGCAGACCGGAGGTCACAGGGTGATCATTAACAGGGGCCCCAGTCCTGCTTACACCCGGCAGCTGGGCTCCTGCAGCCAGCCCGAGGGAACAGCCGGGCTCCCCGTCCGCACCGGGACCGCAACCCCGGCTCCGCACCGGGATCGGGAGCGGGGAGAAACCCCCGAGCTCGGTTTCCCTCCTGTACGCGCATCCCGCGGCCGATCCAAACCCGATTCCCGGTGGGAAAAGGAGGCACGGAGCCCACCGCCAGCGCTGCGAGGCCCGGCACGGCCCCAGCGCGGGATTAGGGATTTGCGGCCACACAATGAGCACCTTTGTGCCTTAAAAAGGCTCCGGCCGGGGGAGCGGCCCCTCGGGGCCAGCGGGGTCAGCGCATCCCGGCTCCCCGTCCCTCCCCTCCGGCCGATTCGGGGGAACCCCGCGGGGTCGGGATGGGCTCGGTCGGGATCGCAGCCCCGGGACGCGAATCCCCGACACGGATTGTGGCGAGGGCCGGGGCGGCTCCGCTCGGCCGCGGGAGGAAGAGGAACCACCGTGGCCGGTTTCGCAAGGGCGGGCGGGAGGGAGGTGCCGCAATTCCCGGCTCCCGGGGCCGTGCCGCGGGCAGGTAACGGGAGGGGAGCGTGGGAGGACGGGGTGAGGCCCCGGTCAGGGCCGGCAACTCCTTCTCCCCCGGGGCACCGGCGGCACGGCGCGATGTGCGGGCACCGGGGCACGGAGCCGGTGCAGGAGGGGGCACCGCCAGGCCGGACCCCCCTCCCCAGAGGTGATTTTAGCAGCGATCCTGCTGGAAACCGACAAACCCTGACGTTTTATAGTCGTCGGCAGATAAACGGGACCGGGAGGGATCCGGGCCCGGGGGCTGCGCGCCCGACCAGGCCGGGGGGCAGCGACCCCGCCGGGGCCCGAGGCCGCTGTGGGCCCGGGGGGGCCCCGCCTTCACCCGGCCCCGCCCGGGCAGCTCCGGGGGGCCCCGGCGGGCCCTGCCCGAGGGCGGATGGAGGCCCGGGATGGCTCCGGTGCGCGCCCAACGCCCGCAGAAAGGCCCGGCCGCGGGCCTGGCGCGGGGGGGGCGAGCGGGAACCATCCCGCGGCCCCTCCGGGCGGCCCCTCGCGGAGCGGGGCGGCCCCGCGCGCCCCCGGCCGCACTCACCCGCAGCCGCCGCCGGAGCCCTCACGGAGCCGCCGCTCGCCCCCCTCCGTCCCGCGCGCGCCCCGCGCCAGGCAGCGGCGGCAGTGACGTCACCGCGGACCCGGGAGTGACGTCACCGCAACGCCGCGGGGAGCGGCGCCCGCCGTGGGGCGGGGCGGGGCCCAGGCGTGAGCAATCGACCGCCGAGACGGGATCCGTGCGCCCCCCTATGGACCCCGGGGTGCGCCATATACACCCCAAATACACGCCCTATAGACAGCCCTATATGTGCCTTGTGCACCCCATATAAACACCCTCTAGAGAGTCCTATATGTGCCCCATATACACCCCATATACATCCCTGTAGACAGCCCTATATGTGCCCCGTGCACCCCATATAAACACCCTATAGAGAGCCCTATATGTGCCCCATATACACCTCTATACACCCTATAGACAGCCCTGTATGTGCCCTATATAGACACCATATAGACAGCCCTATATGTGTCCTGTGCACCCCATATAAACACCCTATAGACAGCCCTGTATGTGCCCCATATACACCCTATAGAAAGCCTTATATGTGCCCTGTGCGCCCCATATAAACACCCTATAGTGAGCCCTATATGTGCCCCATATACACCCCTATACACTCTATAGAGAGCCCAGCATGTGCCCCACTTACCCCCTATAGACAGCCCTATATGTGCCCTGTGCACCTCATATAGACACACTATAGACAGCCATGTATGTGCCCCATATACACCCCTATACACCCTATAGAGAGGCCAGTATGTGCCCCATATACACCCTATAGAGAGCCCAGTATGTGCCCCACATACACCCCACATACCCCCTATAAACGGCCCTATATGTACCCCATATACCCCCTATAGGTGCCCCATATACACCCCATATAGACAGCCCTATATGTGCCCCCTACACCCCCTATAGACAGCCCTATATGTACCCCATATACCCCCTACAGACACCCCATTTGTGCCCCATATATCCCCCATAGACAGCTCTATATGTGCCCCATATACCCCCTATAGACAGCCCTGTATGTACCCCATATACCCCCTACAGACACCCCATTTTTGCCCCATATACCCCCCATAGACAGCTCTATATGTGCCCCATATACCCCCCATAAACAGCTCTATATGTGCCCCATATACCCCCCATAGACAGCTCTATATGTACCCCATATACCCCCTACAGACACCCCATTTGTGCCCCATATACCCCCCATAGACAGCTCTATATGTACCCCATATACCCCCTACAGACAGCTCTATATGTGCCCCATATACCCCCCATAGACAGCTCTATATGTGCCCCATATACCCCCCATAGACAGCCCTATTTGTGCCTCTATGGAACCCCACAGGCCCCACTCGCCCTCTGTCGCCGCCTGGCGGCCACGCCGCGCCACTGCACCCCACAGAGGGGACCCCAAACCCGCGGGGGAACCGTGACCCCAAATCCCCAAAAAGCCCCCCAAACCCGCAGAGGAACGCTGACCCCAAATCCCCCAAAAGCCGCCCAGATCCCCCCAATCCCCCCCAACCCCTGTGTCCCCAGAGAACAGAAGCTCCCACTGATCTCAGGGTGCAGGGGGACAAGTCCTTTACTTGCCAAAGGCTAAGGCCACATTTTGAACAGGGGTGTGCAGGTGTCCCCCCATCCCCACACCCACACCCACCCCTGTCTCAGGGCGTGGACTGAGGTGTGGGACCCCCCCGAGTGGGACCCCCCCTGTGTTAAGGCCACTGGGAAGTTTGGGGTGTTCCTGGGGTGGGCTCAGACGGTCACCCCTCGTCTCCAGCCCACAGGGACCCCCAGGAAGTCCCTAGAGGACCCCCCAGGATGTCCCTGGAGGATGCAGAGCGGGATTTTGGGGGGCTGCAGGCGTGGGGACCCCCAGGCACCGGGTGCTAGAGGAGGGTGCAGTCCAAATCCGGCCTCTGGCGCCGCCGCTCCGCCTGTGGGGACAGGGACAAGGACAGGGCTGAGCTCTGGGGGGACGCACAGAGACCCCCAGGGCCAGCAGCACCTCCCGGGTACCTGCGCTGGGAGCAGCTGAGGAGGAGCAGGGTGGTGAGGATGATGGTGAGGATGAGGATGGTGCTGCTGGTACTCCTCCTGCTGCAGCTGCCGCGCCAGCTCCAGGTCGCTGAGCACCGAGGAAGGGTCCTGTCCCTGCTGCAGTGACAGGGCCACCATGAAATCCTGGCAGGAGCACAGAGAGGGGGGTCAGACCCTGGGGGATCCAGGATGGGACTCATTTGTTCCTGTCAGATTTTCTAAAAAATTCCCCTTGTCCAGGATTTCCTCCTGGCAAGCTGAGAAGCCTCAGCTTGTTGTGTTTTGCTGCTTTGGAATTTGATTTGGAGATTGTTTTTCCAGCACGTGAATTGTTTTTATTTAATGAATCATGGCCAGCTGTGTCGGGACTCTGGAAGGAGTCACGAGTTTTTATTATATTTATTAAAATGTTCAATAAAATATTATTCTATTATTTATTATTAAAATTATTTAGATTTGTAACATTATAAAATAATATAATTATTATAATATTTATTAAAATTAGTATATTTATAAAGTATTTATTATAATATTTATAACGCATTTATAGTACTTTTTATTTTATTATTTTATATTAATTATAATATTATTTATTATAACAAGAATTTTAGCATTCTTGTTAAGCCTTCTGCCTGTATCCTTTCCCTACTTCTTTAGTATAGTTTTAGTATAGTATTCTTATAATAATTCTTATAATAACATAAAATTCTTATAATAATGATAATCATAATAACTTTAGTATCGTATTCTTATAGTCATTAGTATAGTATTCGTATAATAATAAAATATATTAATTGAATATAGTAACTTATTATAGTCAGTATAATAATAAGTATTCTTATATAGTAATGTAATGTAATGTAATGATATAATAATGTAATGTAATGTAATGTAGTGTAATGTAATGTAATGATATGATATGATATGATATGATATATGATATGGTATGATGTAATGTAATGTAATGTAATGTAGTGTAATGTAATGTAATGTAATGTAATATAATATAATATAATATAATATAATATAATATAATATAATATAATATAAACCTTCTGAGAACACAGACTCAGATCCATGTCCTCCCTTGTCCTGGGAACCCCCCAACACCCACACCCGCTGCCACCACGTGTCCCCAAACCTGGTCCACTTGTCTCTGCTGCAGCCGGGGGTCCGGGGGGGCCGTGCTGGCCCCGTCCTTGCCCAGGGGGTGGCTGAGGTGGAACTCGGTGTCACAGAAGCAGCTGTCCCCATCCACACTGTGCAGGCTCTCCCACACCACCCCCTCCTCCTGCAGGAAGCCCTGGTCGGTCACCAGCAGGTAGAGGTGGCCCTGGGCACAAGGGACAGTGCCACGGACATGTTTAATGAAAAATCCTTTTGATAGGATCTTTTTCTCCTGAGAGGCCTCAGGAATGAAATGTAAACAATAATTATCTGCTGCTATAAAATGCAACAGGTGCATCTTTGATTGGTGTCATGTGGTTGTTTTTAATTAATGGCCAATCACAGTCCGGCTGTCTCGGACTCTCTGAGAGTCACAAGATTTTATTGTCATTCCACTCCTTTGTATTCCTTTCTGATGAAATCCTTTCTTCTATTCTTTAGTATAGTTTTAATATCTTCATATAATATAATATAATATAATATAATATAATATAATATAATATAATATGATACGATATGATGTAATGCAATGCAATGTAATATAATATAATTATACATATTATATATTATATATTATATATTATATAGATAATATATGTATAATATATGTTGTATATTATATATTATACATTATATATAATTAATAAAATAATAATATAATATTATATTACATTATGTATAGTATAATATACTATAATATACTATACTATACTACACTATACTATAATATGATAATAACATAATATAATATAATATAATATAACATAATATAATGTAATTAATGCAATGCAATGTAATATAATTATATATATTATATATAATATATAATATATAATATAGATAATATATATAATATTATATATTGTATATTATATATTATACATTATACATAATTAATAAAATAATAATATATTATATTACATTATGTATAATATACTATACTATACTATACTACACTATAATATAATATAATATAACATAACATAACATAACATAACATAACATAATATAATATAATATAATATAATATAATATAATATAATATAATATAACAAAATACTAATTCAGTCTTCTGAAACCTGTGAACACCACCACAGCTGGTGACCCCGAGCGAGGAACATTCCCACAGGACAGGTGACAGTGGGTCCTGTGTGGGGCTCTGGGGGGCACAGCAGGGTCTGGGGGGGCCCAGAAGGCTCTGGGGGGCACAGAGGGCTCTGGGGGGCACAGAGGGTCGGGGCTCCCACCTTGTGTTTGATCATGGTGCTGAAGTGGTTGTTGCGGAAGAAGACGCCGAGCTCTCCCTCGCGGGCGCGCGCCGTGAGCTCGCACAGCCCGTGGAAGGTCAGCTGGGACGCCGTGGCCTCCAGGAACTGCTCTGCCACCAGCCCTGAGGGGACAGCGGGGACGTGGCGGGGCCGGGGGTTCCCGGCTGTGCCCCCCAGGCCCGTGGGGAGGCGACAGGGCCGTTACCTTCGCTCACCAGGCGCGAGTCGCTGGCGTGCTTGCAGGTGATGATCTTCTCCACCAGCTGGTTGTAGCTGAGCTTGCCCACGGCCTGCACCTGCTCGGGGCTCTGTGGGGCGGCAGGGACACACGGGGTGAGCTCCTGGTGGGCGTGGAGCCACAGCAGAGGGGTCTGAGGGTCCCTTCTGAAGGGAGGAAGCACCCAGGGCAACCTCCTGCCATGGCCAGAGGAGCCAGGCACTGCCTCGGGTTCAGAGCCCCATCCCAAACATCACTGAGGGCTTTGGGGTGGCAATTTCTGGATCATCTGGACCTCCCCAAACCACAGGCAGGGACACCTCCTGTTAGACCAGGCTCATCTAGAGCCCCCCTAAACCACAGGCAGGGACATCTCCTGATAGACCAGGCTCATCTAGAGTCCCCCTAAACCATAGTCCTGCTAGACCAGGCTCATCTGGAACCTCCAAACCATAGACAGAGACACCTTCTGCTACACCAGGCTCATCTGGATCCCCCTAAACCACAGGCAGGGACACCTCCTGCTAGACCAGGCTCATCTGGACCCTCCCCAAACCACAGTCCTGCTAGACCAAGCTCATCTGGATCCCCCTAAACCACAGGCAGGGACATCTCCTGCTAGACCAGGCTCATCTGGACCTCCCCAAACCATAAGTAGGGACATCTCCTACCAGACCAGGTTCATCTGGACCCCCCCAAACCACAATCCTGCTACACCAGGCTCATCTGGAACCCCCAAACCACAGTTATGGACATCTCCTGCTAGAGCATGTTCCTCCAGGCCCCAGCCAACCTGGCCTTGAGCACTCCTAGGGTTGGGACATCCACCCTCAGCTCGGTCACCTTGGCCACGACGAGCCCCAGCTCCTCTCCAGCCCTGGGGACACCTCTGTGACCCCACAGAAGCCCCAGCAGCAGCCAGGCAGGGGGGCTCACCTGGGGGTCCACCAGCCAGCCGTGGTACAGCGGGATGTTGAGGAGGTCGAAGACGATGCACTCGGGGGTGTACTCGAAATCTGAGACCCCCGTGAACCTCACGTTGACGTCCAGCCCCGTGGAGAGCTTGGGCAGCACTGTCATGGTGTCATTGATGTTCTGGGGGGCAGCAGAAACACGGGGAGGGGTCACTCCTGTAGGTGACACCCCAAATCCTGCAGCCAGCGGGGCTGTGTGTTCTGGGGGTGCTCCTCACCTGCTGGAAGTTCAGCTGCAGCCCCTCTGAGGTGTCCTTGGGTTGGGTGGCCAGGATGCAATTCCCTGTGAGACAGCGGGGTCAGAGCCCCCCCCCAGGGAATGTGGGGGTCCCACTGGAGCCCCCCATCCCGTTCCTGGTGCCAGAGCAGGGTCCGCACTCACCCAAATGTGCCATCAGCTCCTCGGCCGTGACCACCTCTGTCTGCGGGGGCAGCTTCACCTGGGGGCAACCAGAGCAGGCTGGAGACCATCCCATTGATCCCTTCCCATCCCATTGATAACATCCCATTGATAACATCCCATTGATCCCCTCCCATCCCATTGATCCCATCCCATTGATAACATCCCATTGATCCCTTCCCATCCCATCGATCCCATTGATCCCATCCCAGCCCATCCCATTCCATCCCATTGATCCCAACCCATTGATCCCATCCCATCCCATTGATCCCATCCCATCGATCCCATCCCATCCCATCCCATCCCATCCCATCCCATTGATAACATCCCATTGATCCCTTCCCATCCCATCGATCCCATTGATCCCATCCCACTGATAACATCCCATCCATCCCATCCCATCCCATTGATCCAATCCCATCGATCCCATCCCATCTCATTGATCCCATTGATCCCATTGATCCCATCCCATCCCATCCCATTGATCCAATCCCATTGACCCCATCCCATCCCATCCCACTGATCCCATTGACCCCATCCCATCCCATCCCATCCTATCCCATCGATCCCATCCCATTGATCCCATCCCACCCCACCCCTGGGACCCCTCCCCAGGGCATTTGGGGGTCCAAAGCCCCCCCACTTGCCTTCCACTGCAGCAGGAGGATGTTGATGATGGCCAGCAGCGGGCAGGGCCCGTTCTCGCCCTGGGTCACCAGGGCCGTGCGCTGCCCCTTCCACAGGATCCACTTGACAAAGTAAAAATCCCCGGGGGGCTGCGCCCGGGGGGGCTCGGCCGGCGGGGACCCCCTGTCCTGGGGGGACCCCCTGTCCTGGGAAGACCCCCCCTCCTTCAGGGACCCCTTGTCCTGTGGGGGCTGCTCTTTGGGGGACCCCCCTTCCTTCGGGGACCCTTCCTCCTTTGGGGACCCCTCCTCATGCAGGGGCTGCTGCTGCTTGGGGGAGCCCCCCGGGGGTCCCTGGGGGCTGGAGACCCCTTCCTGCTGCCTGGATGGACCCCCAGAACCTTCCCAGGAATTCCCTGCACTGGGAATTGTGTCACTGGAACTGGGAATTGTGTCATCAACATTGGGAATTCCGTCCCCTACACCGGGAATTCCGTCCCTAAAATCGGGAATTGTGTCCCCAACGCTGGGAACTGTGTCATCGACACTGGGAACTCTGTCACCTGCACCAGGAATTGTGTCACCAACAGCAGGAATTTTGTCACCAGCACCGGGAATTTCATCCTCAACACTGGGAATTGTGTCACCAGCATTGGGAACTCCATCCCCTACACTGGGAATTCCATCCCCTACACCAGGAATTGTGGCCCCTACACTGGGAATTCCATCCCCAGCACTGGGAATTGTGTCCCCAACATTGGGAATTTTGTCCCCACCCGCAGCATCCTCGGGGGTCCCCTCCTGCTCCATGGGACCCTCTGGTGCTGCTCTGGCTCCACTCAGGCTCCTGGGAATGCTCTGGGTCTGTCCAGGAGCAGCTGCATCCCAAATCAGCCTGAGGAGGGAAAATGGGGCTGACTGAGGAAAATACTGAGATATTATAAATATAATATAAATTAAATATGTTCACAAATCTAAATCTAAATCTAAATATACATGTAAATAAACCCATAAATGTATATTTATATATGTATACATATTATCTATATCTATAGATATATATGTCTATATATGGGGTTGTAAATGAAATTAAATGAAAAAAATGAAATATAATTTTAAAAATAAAATTAAATAAAATTAAATATAATAAAATAGAATAGAATTAAATTAAATTTAAAAATAGAACAGAATTAAATTAAATTTGAAAATGGAATAAAATAGAAAAAAATTAAGTAAGTTTAAAAATTAAATAAAATGAAATAAAATAAAAATTTAAAATAAAATAAAATAGAATAAAATTAAATTAAATTTAAAAATAGAATAGAATTAAATTTTAAAATAGAATAGAATTAAAAAATAAAATAAAACAAAACAAAACAAAATAAAACAAAATAAAATAAAATAAAATAAAATAAAATAAAATAAAATAAAATAAAATAAAACAAAATGCAGTGCCGTTTAACAGCCATAAGGGAAGGTGGATTTCCATTCCCACTCGCGGCTCCGCCCCGAGCCCGCGGCGGGGCCAGTCCGGCCGGACCGGGGGGTCCCGGGGCGGGTCCGGGGGTCCCGGGGCGGGGCCGCCCCTCGGGGTCCCCCCCTTGCGGCTTTTCCTTCAGTTTTCCCCCCTAATCCTTGTTTTTTCTCATTTTTCCTTCTTTATGCCCCTTTTTCCTTCTTTAATCCTTGTTTTTCCTCATTTTTCTCTCTTTATTCCTTGTTTTTCCTCCCCTCCCCTTCTTTATTCCTTGTTTATGCTCCTTTACCTTTACTTTTAATTTTTTTCCCCTCCTTTTCCCTTCTTTTCTTTATTTTTTCCTCCTTTCCCCTTCTTTTTCTAATTTTCCCTTTTTTCCCCTCCTCTCCCCCTTCTTTTTTTCCACTTTTCCCCTCCTTTTTAACCCTTTACCTTTTCTCCTGCTTTTTTCTCCTTCTTCTCTCCTCCTTTATTCCCTTTTTTCTTCCTTCTTCCTTCTTTTTCCTTCTGCTCTTTCCTCTTTAATCCTCTTTTATTTTTTAATTCCTTCGCGCTCCTTTCGCTCCTCTCGTCTTCCTTTTCCCTCCTTTTTTTTTTTTTTTTTCCCCTTTTTAATCTCCCCTTTCTTTTATCCTCTTCCCTGTTTTTTTTTTTTCACCCTTTTTTTTCTTCTTTTTTCCTCTTTTTTCCCTCTTTTTCCCCCGTTTTCGGGGCCTGTTTTCCACCTGGCTGCGGCCGCCCCGTGGGAAGGCGGATTGAGGGCGGGGGGAGGAGGAGGAGGAGGAGGAGGAAGAGGAGGAAGAGGAGGAGGAGGAAGAAGAGGATTCAAGGTGGAAATTTTGGGGTGCACTCAGATTTTTGGGGGGGTTTTGCAGGGTGCGGGTTGGGCTGGGGGGGCGTTTTGGGCTCGCAGCGGAATTTGGGGGTGTCCGAGGGGGCTTGGGGGCTGTTTGGGGGTTCAGGGAGGGGTTCAGGGGTCCCGGGAGGGTTTTGGGGTGAAATGAGGAAATTTGGGGTCCCCCCCGAGCCCCCCCCCCCCAGCGCGGGGGATGCCGGGAACGGCCCCGCCCCCTCCCAGCGGCCCCTGCGGCGCGGGGGGAGGGGCTGGACTGGGACGGACTGGGATTAAACTGGGACGGACTGGGACATACTGGGCTGGACTGGGACGGACTGGGATTAAACTGGGACGGACTGGGACAAACTGGGCTGGACTGGGACGGACAGGGGTTATACCAGGACGGACTGGGACAAACTGGGTTTATACTGGGATAGTTTGGGGTTAAACTGGGACGGACTGGGATAGTCCAGGGTTATACTGGGACGGACTGGGACAAACTGGGTTTATACTGGGATAGTTTGGGGTTAAACTGGGCTGGACTGGGATAGTCCGGGGTTATACTGGGCTGGACTGGGACGGACAGGGGTTATACCGGGACGGACTGGGACAAGCTGGGCTAATACTGAGATAGTTTGGGGTTAAACTGGGCTGGACTGGGACAGTCCGGGGTGATACTGGGCTGGACTGGGACGGACTGGGGTGATAGTGGGACAGTCTGGGCTTATACTGGGGTCGTCTGGGGTGATACTGGGCTGGACTGGGACGGACTGGGTTTATACTGGGCTGGACTGAGATGGACTGGGCTTAAACTGGGCTGGACTGGGACAGTCTGGGGTGGTACTGGGATAGTCTGGGCTGATATTGGGATGGACTGGGCTTAAACTAGGCTGGACTGGGATGGTCCAGGGTGATACTGGGTTGGACTGGGGTAGCCTGGGTTTGTACTGGACTGTGCTGGGCCCTACTTGGCCGTACTGGGTTATACTGGGCTCTACTGGGTTGTACCGAGCTGTACTGGGCTGCACTGGGTTGCAGTGAGCTGTACTGGGTTATACTGGGCTATACTGGGTTATACCGGCTTATACTGGGTTATACTGGGTTGTAGTGAGCTGTACTGGGTTGCAGTGAGCTGTACTGGGCCGTACTGGTTTATACTGGGGCCATCCTGGCGGTTCAGGCCGTGGATCAGCGCTGTCATGGAGCGCTTCGTGCTGGGGAACCGGGCGGCTCTGCAGGTACGGGGGGAACGGGGGGGATTGGGGGGCTCAGGGGGGCTCAGGGGAAAGGGGGGGAATGGGAGGAATTGGGGAACAGGGAAATGGGGGAGCAGAGAAATGAGGGAGCAGGAAATTGGGGGTACAGGGGGGGATTGGGGGTGCAGGGAATTGGGGGTGTAGAGGGAGGAACTGGGGTTGCAGGGGGAGAATTGGGGGTGTAGGGGGAGAATTGAGGTTCGGGGGATTGGGGAGCAGGCAAATGGGGGAGCAGGAAAACGGGGGTGCAGGGGGGAAATAGAGGCTCGGGGAAATGGGAGAGCAGGGGGGGAATTGGGTGCAAGAAAATGGGGGAGCAGGGAAGTGGAGGAGAAGGGAATTGGGGGTGAAGGGAAATGGGGGTGCAGGGGGAAAATGGGGAGCATGGAATTCGGGGTGCATGGAATTGGGGGTGCAGAGGGGGAATTGGGGGTGCAGGGAAATGGGAGTGCAGGGAATTGGGGGTGCAGGAAGGAATTGGGGGTTCAGGGGGAAATTGGGGTGCAGGGGATTGGGGAGCAGACAAATGGGGGCGCAGGGGGAGCAGGGAATTGGGGGTGCAGTTAAATGGGGGTGCAGGGGGAGATGAGCACCCCACAGACTGAACCAAGAGCCCCAAGTGTGGTGCCCCACTGGGGTGGCACAGCCACACCAAGGACACCCCAAAATGTCTCCCAGCCCCAGCCCCATCCCAGACCTGCCGAGGGGTTTGTGCTGCAGCTGCTCTGGGGTTGTTTTTTTTTCCTGTTTTACCACAAATTAGCAAATCTGGGTTATGGCAGCAGAGAATTGTCCCAAAAAATCAGAGCCTGGGGACGGGGTGGCTCCCGTGGGCGGGGGACAGGAGAGTGACATGTTTTCCCTGATGCTGCAAGCAGGCAAAAGAGGGTGAAACATCATTTTTGGGGTGACAAACAGCCCCAAACTCTAAAACAAATGGGTTAAAGCACTCAGGGCTGCGGGGCTGGGATGGTCCCTGGCCTCACCTGGTGGCTCAGGTGAGTTTTCCTGGAATCCCAACACACCTCACTCACCCCAAACCTGAGGATTTAGTGCCAGAAATGGATCCCAGGGGTGCCAGGAGCTGGTCTGGAGGTCAGAAATAGATCCCAGGCAGCTCCAGTGGTGCCAAGAGCTTGTCTGGAGGCCAGAAGTGGATCCCAGGCAGCTCCAGGGGTGCCAGGAGAGTGCAATCTGTGGGTGCCACCTGTGTTGGGTGGCTCCAGGAGCACTGATGAGGACAAGGGAGCAGTCTGGGGGATTTTGGAGGACAAGGCCACGCTGCTGCCGTGCCTGACACCTCCCATCCCTGCAGGATCACATCCAGCAGCACCAGGAGATCCACGTGGTGATGGGCAACGAGGCCTGTGACCTGGACTCCGCCGTCTCCGCGCTGGCCCTGGCCTATTTCCTCGCCCAGGTGAGGCTCAGCCACCACCCCAGGGACCCCTGATGGCCTCGGGGACACCTCCCTGGGTGTGACACCCCCTTTGCTGCAGACCACCCCGGCTCCCAAAGCCGCCTTCGTGCCCGTGCTGAACATCCCCCGCGCCGACTTCGCGCTGCGGACGGAGACGACGTTCCTGCTGCGGGAGCGGGGCATCCCGGACACCTCGCTGGTCTTCAGGGATGAGATCGACCTGGGGGGGCTGCACCACGCTGGGCTGCTGTCCCTGACTCTGGTGGATCACCATGTTCTGCCCTGGTGAGCTGGGGGTGGCACCTTGGGGACAGCCAGGGGACAGCAGAGCCTCGATGGATTTTGCTGTGGGATGGGGGGGATCCTGGACACCTCGCTCGTTTTTTGGTGTGAGATTGATCTGGGGGATGAGATGGACCTGGCATCATGCTGAGCTGCTCTCCCTGACTCTGGTGGATCACCATGTTCTGCCCTGGTGAGCTGGGGGTGGCACCTTGGGGACAGCCAGGGCCACCCATGCAGAGCCTTGGTTGATTTTTTGATTTTGCTGTGGGATGAGGGCATCCTGCCTACCTCACTCATTTTTTGGGATGAGATGGACCTGGCACCACGCTGGGCTGCTCTCCCTGACTCTGGTGGATCACCATGTCCTGCCCTGGTGAGCCAAGGGGTGGCACCTTGGGGACAGCCAGGGCCACTCACGCAGAGCCTCACTTGATTTTGCCGCCCAAGATGGGTGAAATTGATAAATTTCCAGGGAGTTTTTAGGGAAAAAAAGGAATAAGGGGCTTTGGCAGGCTCTGACCCTCCCCGTTGCCCACCAGTGCTGACGCTGCCCTGGAGGAGGCCGTGGTGGAGGTCCTGGATCACCGACCGCTGGAGCGGGCCCGAGGCCCCCCGTGCCAGGTGACAGTGGAGCCCGTGGGCTCCTGTGCCACCCTGGTGACCGAGAGGATCCTGCAGGGCCCCCCGGGCGTGCTGGACAGAACCACGGCCGCGCTGCTGCACGGTGAGCAGGGCACAGCGGGGGACGGTGGGGCACAAAGGGACCTGGGTGAAAATGAGCCAGCAGTGTGCCCTGGTGGCCAAGAAGGACAATGGCTCCTGGCCTGGATCAGGAATTGTGTGGCCAGCAGGAGCAGGGAGCTCATTCTGCCCCTGGACTCGGTGCTGGTGAGGCCAAATCTTGAGCGCTGTGTCCAGTTCTGGGTCCTCAGTTTGGGAAGGATGTTGAGATGCTCAAACACAAGGCTGGTGAGGGGCTGGGAACACAAACCCTGTGAGGAAGGTTTGAAGGAGCTGGGGATGTTCAGCCTGGAGAAGAGGAGGGTTAGAGGTGCCCTTATTGCTCTCTACACCTTCTGAAGGGAGGTTGTAGCCAGGTGAGGTCAGTCTCTGACAGAATCAGAGGACACAGCTTCAAGCTATGTCAGGGATGGTACAGGTTGGATATTAGGAAGAAATTATTCACCAAAAAAATTAAAAAGTACTGGAATGCTCTTCCCAGGGAGATGCAGAATCACCATCTCTGGATGTGTTTAAATACACACTGGACATGATGCTATCTAATCTAGTTGAGGTGTCAGGGCATAGGATGGATGATCTCAGAGGTCTCTCCCACCCTCATCATTCTGTGATTCTGTGGGGTCCTGGCTGAGCTCTGTCCCCGGGGACGGTGACACCACGGCCCTGCTTGTCCCCACAGGCACCATCCTGCTGGACTGCATCAACCTGAGCCCAGCTGCAGGCAAGGTGACCCCCAGGGACGTGGCCTGCGTGTCCCTGCTGGAGGAGAGGTTCCCGGAGCTGCCGGCCCGTGACGCCGTGTTCGGAGCGCTGCAGGCGGCCAAGTTCGATGTCACAGGTGGGTGTGCCAGGCCAGCGGCACCCAGGTGTGTCCCCCCCTCTCTCCTTGGGGACAGCAAGGTGACCTGGGATCATTGCTGGCCACCTCCCAGGGCTGACGACAGAGCAGATGCTGCGGAAGGACCTCAAAGTCCTCTCCAGTGATGAGGCTGTCGTTGGCATCAGCGGCGTCTTCGAGGACTTGGAAGTGAGACTGGGAGCTGAGGGGGAAACTGAGGCAGGGAGTGGCATGCTGGGGACATCACGGTGACACTGAGACCCCTCCCCTCTGCCCAGACCTTCCTGCTGCGGCCTGGCTTGCTGCAGGACCTGGAGGCTTTCTGCCAGGCCCGTGGCTACGCCGGGCTGGTGGCCATGACCGTGTCCTTTAACCAACACCACGAGCCCACCCGCAAACTCGCCGTGTACAGCGCACAGGAGCCGCTCCGCGGCACGGTGAGTCAGGGAGCCACGTCTGGGCACATCCAGCCCTGCTTTGCCCCACAACCTGGCAGTTTTGGGGGTGCTGGGCAGGTCCCAGCCCCATGTTTGCTCCCCCACAGCTGTGCCGGGCTCTGGAGGAGGCGACGGCGCCGTCGCTGCTGCTGCGGCCGCTGCCCAGCCCCTGGCCCTGCGTGGCCGCCTACGCCCAGGGCAACGCCGTGGCCACCCGTAAGAAGGTGCTGCCCATCCTCAGGGCAGCTCTGGGGGGTCTGGGGGCTGCAGGGGGCCCCGAGGAAGAGGTGGTGCCCCCGCCCACCCCCATGAACAGCCTGGTGGAGGAGTGTCCCCTGGCACAGGCCGTGCCCCCGCTGTGCCCCCAGGATGTCCTGGAGCGGGTCAGCCGCATCGCCGCGGGGCAGCCCCCGGGCTCCCCGAAATAACAGAGGCACCCCCGTGGATGTTTGAGGTCTGGATGAGAAGCTGGGGTCCCTGAGTAGGCCCCCGTGGGGTGCCTGGGTGTGGGGGGGTGGCAGCTGCCTCTGTTAGAGCTCAGCTCGTGGTTTGTCCCCCCCAATGGCTCCCTGTGCCCCAGTGGTCCCCAAGGTGGGGTTTTGGGGGTGCCATGGGCAGGAGTTGCACCCCCTTGATGAAGGCGTTGGGGTGGGGGAGTTAAGGAGTTACTGATGATCTTCCTTCCGTGGGGGGCAGAGGGAGGCCCCAGAGGGTGGGTCCGGACACGCAGCCGTCCAGAACTGTCACCGTTTTCCAAGGATTAAATTCCCCTTTAAATTTCTTCCAGTTGTGGCTCTTGGCTTTTATTCAGGGACGGGGTGCTGCCCCACTCGAGCTGGGGGCGCGCCCCCTCTTTCCCTGGGGTGCAATCCCCTCTGCAGTGGGTCAGAGGAACATTTTGGGGTGTCCAAGGAGGGGGCGTCAGTGCAGCCACGCTCCCGAGTCCAGCCCAGCCGGGAGGAAACTGGTTGTGCCATAAAAAGTCGTGAATTTCAGCTTTTCCCAGTGGATTTGGCTGCTCCAGGAGCAGAGGAGGGAGCGAGGAGCTCCTGCACCCACCCCTTGGGCCAGCACAAGGCATTTATTTCAAGGGTGGAATGTTTTTCCCAAAAACCCTGACCCGAACACGACATGGGGCTGGAAAATCCCAGCTCCCACCGGAGCACAGGGGAAAGGCTCTGTCACCCAGCACGTGCTAATTAATATTTAATCCTGGCACTAATTAAACTAT